ATAATTCACGAAATAATGTGTTAGTGGGGTATCGAATAGGCTTATTGAAACAAACTTTGAGTAATAACTTCTGAAGGACAAAGAGAGGTTCTAAAACAGTGGGAAAAGCTCCGCCCCATACGATGATGCCAAATGAAAGTAACGACTGGACATAGGCGTAATATGCTAGCTTCATTTCCTGTGTTGTTAATATGTCACGCAGTTTCCTAAATGCAAAGATATATTTACGTAATTTAGAGGTTAAAAAATGTATGTGGTCAGACCACTTCATACGATTGTCAAAAATCACACCTAAATATTTATAGGAACTTACTTTCTCAATTTGCTCACAAGAGCAAAATCTATTTAAAAAGTTGCCACAAGAGTGAATTGAAATATTTTCCAAGTTATAATCAGTAGTATCTCTTAGTGAAATTGGTAAGAATTTGGTTTTTGAAACATTTAAGGATAGAACATTTTGGTCAAACCATTTTTTTATTAAAAGAAGATCATGATTAGCATCATCACGGACGTTTTCCCAACTTGTCCCGTTTTCAAGAATGACGGTATCATCGGCAAATAAAAACAGTTTGCCTTTAATTGATTGCTCAGTTTGCTTCAGTTTGCCATTTTGTCTATTACTCTGAACTAATATTTTGCATCGATACTCATAGTTTTTGAAAACATTTAAGAATACATTAAAAGCCTCAGAAGCATTAATTTCATTGTAAACGCTTGTCCAAGTTTCCTCAGAAAGTAGCTTTTTCAAAAGAGCGAAGTCAGTGCGGTAGTGGGTAGGGGGAGGAAAGGACGCAGTAACTGTGCCTCCACCCCTCCCCTCACCAACCACGCGCACCGTCACCCAACACATGGAGTGGTCGGTGTGTCCTGCATGTACAACCGAAGCACCAACCTCAATCAAGCCCTTACATGCCACTCTTACATAACAATGGTCAATGCAGCTTTCAGTCTTGTCTGTTATTCTGGTTGCCTCATTAACCAAACATTCCAAGCCGTTTACACTGCCCTGACAAGCAAGAATGCAGTATATGCAACAAACTCTGTATTGAGAAAAACCAGGTTAACTTTGGAATGTTGTCTTGCTTTTAATCATGATACAAATTTGCTACTGTTATGTACAGAAATAATGGTTTGGTCAAATATATTAAAAACAAAATAGTAATGCTCATTTTCTTATTTTGGCATTAAAATAAAGCAGTTACTGCGTTTTTGCGAAGCATATTACAATGAGCATGACTCTAACCTGATTAAGAAAAGTGAAGTATGTGTAATTTCAGTATGGTTACTGCTGATAAAACATCTTTAAAACACACACTTAACATTTTGGTCACATAACCTAAAACAAACTACACAACAAAAACCTCCAAAAGTACTAACAGCTGTGCAACTTAAGCTGCAAATATTTAAGGAAACAGCTGTAGTCTTCGTCTTTAGGAACAATGCAGTATCTACACTACACACTGCTTAGGAGAAGTGCAGTAACTGTATGTTATGTACTGTGTTTTTCAGAAGCAAACTGTATTTACTGCATTGTTCTTAAGAATAGAGTTACAGCAACATGCAGATACTGTGTTTTACTTAACGAAATTTCCTATAAAGAAAAAGGATACAGCATTTTTACTAAGCTAATCAGATAGAGCTTAATTTTCTGAGTTCAGTGATATGCATATCTTAATATGTCAAAATTATGCAGATAGTGCGTTTTTTCCTTGTCAGGGCAGTACAGCCATTAAGGAATTGTACTTATCTATTGATAACAGACATGGGCTCATTTAATTTAATTTTAGAGGAATGTTTAAGTCCCCAATCCAAAATAAATTTTTTATTTTTCTAAAATAAGCATAATTTTGTTCAAATATATTCTGGAATTCACTAACAAAAATGTCTATTGGTTGGAAGATCTGCCTATAAATTGCAATTATATGAAACTTATTTTCTAAAATATCAAACGATATAAACTTGACGTCAGCAGATTTACAATCTAAATCTATAGATTCTACATTCGATATTAGGTTACTTACATATATAGCTACTCCCCCAGACCTATAAGTATCATTACAATTAACAAATAGCTTGTAATTTAGGATTTCATAATACATTCATTTGAATATATCCAAATTTCTGTCAATATTATTATATCAGGCATTTTATTATTCACGCAGTTAAATCTGCTAAAATCAAATCAAAATTCCTTCTTAAACTCCTTACATTTTGATGAATAATTGCAATTATCTGATCAGACATAATTTATTTACAAGACAATAATTATTTACACTATTTTACAAAATTTTTGTAACATTGACCCATTGACTTGTGAAGGGAAAAACAATATAGGTACATATTACAGATAAAAAAGACATTATAACTTACAAATTGTCCAAGGCTGCCTGGCACGTCACGTGGACCACAGCCGCAGCCTCTTCTTTGCGCATGAAGATCTTCCCTCCCCTCAGCCAGAGGTACTTGTAGTGCTTGTCCCTTTTCGCCTCCCGCGCCGCTGCGAACAGCCTCCGTCTGGCGGTTGTCAGCGCCTCATTCACGTAGATGGGCTGGTCCATGGGTAGGTTGAGATGCCTTGTAGAGAAGTTACTCTTGACACGGCGTTTACGGAGTATTTCTTCCTAACAAATTTAACTATGATTCCCGGTGGTCTGTTGTTTGGTCCCGGGGCGTTACCCAGCCGGTGGCAAGCGTCTATCATAGTGTCTGCAATAGTAAAATCTAGAGCTCTCCCAACATCTTTTGCGATTGTGACTACATCCTCGCTCTTTTGGTACGGAATACCCTGGACTTCAACAGTGTTGGCACGCGAATATTGTTCCATATCATCCACGCGTTTTTCTAACTCTGCAACCTTTTTATTTAATTGTTTGTTTTCATCTACTAGTTCATTGATAATTTTAAAACTATTTTCAAGCGTTAACTTATGTTCTAAAGCAATCTTGGTGATTTCATCCAATTTTTCCTGTAATGCCTCGTAAGATTTATTAAAATTGGCTTCCTGTGTTTTTTGGTTCTCAAAAACTTTACTAATTTTTTTCATAATGTCATCTAAGGTTAGCTTACCATCCTCCGCTTCTGCTTCAAATCTCAAGCTTTTCCTCCTAGTTTCTGATCAGTTTTGACACCTCCATGGTAATCCTTCCGAAGTGAAACACTCAACTTCACTTCTACTCATCTTGAGACATGCCGCATGAAAATCCCGTTTACAGTCACAACACCCCACTTTCAGTTGGTTTGTTTTAAGCGATTTTACACATATTCCGCAAGCTGACATTTTAAAAATGACATTAACACTCAAAGTTGAAAAAACAAATTGAATTATGAACATATACGATATTCGGCACTTGTTGGACCTTGTAGGTTAGTTTCACTAGAGAGACTGGATCACTGATAACATACGATGTGTCTTATCTGAACGCTGACCCATGACTTTCATGGGGTAAGGATTGGTTTTTCTCATTTTTGACACTCAAAACACGAAATTTCTCTCTAGACCTTTATAAAGAGCTTAAAAAATAAATAATTTAGTATATCAAAGTGTTTTTTTAAGTTATTGGTAACGGAGAAAATTCAAAAAATAGTAAATTTGAAATTCCCATGTTATTCTTATAGAGAACGTAAAATGTAGTTTTTGCTTGTTTATGGATATAATTTTGATTAAACTTGGCAAATGTATTCATTTTATACTAAGCAACTAATATTTACTAAAAACTAAACTTATGATTAGTTTCCTTGTGGCAGCAAACCCAGGTACTCGTTAAATCCCATGTTTTTAAGTACGGTAGATTTAATTGAAAATCAATTCAGACAAATGGAAATTCGCTTAGTCGGCAGGTTTGCTGCAGCGGGGGTATTAAATTAATACTATTGGAGTTCGTGTAATCTGGAGTTCGATAAACGATGATTATTTCAAATGTATACTATTGGGGTTGGTGAAATGCTCCTTTGAAAAGTAGGTATCTGCGGGAAAAAGTATAAATGTAATTATGATATTTTTAATTTAGTGCCATGATGTATAACTTTGTTATCAATACAGGTAGAGTCTAACTAAAAGTAATGATAAATATAATTAGATTATATTCACTGAAACATAAAGCCATATAACTCTGATAAAGACAAATTATCAGATTCTAACAGTGTATTCAATCATATATATTTATCCGTGAAATCAATAACTTAAGTAATTTTTATCCGATTTATATTAAATTTGGCTTCAATATGTAGGATGAACCGCCATAATCGGACCATGGGACCTGGGTATTACAGGGACAAGGGGGTAACAAAACTTTCCCATTTAACTTTAAACTATTTTACAGAAATTAAAAAAAGCAAATGAATTAGTACAGTGAAGTGTTTTTTTTTTTTTCAATTATTGGATGCAGAGAAAATTAAAAAAAAATAAATTTAAATTGCCAGTGTTGTAGATTGCTTGTTTATGGATATATTTTCATCAAAAATGGCAAATTTATTTATTTTATACTACCGGTAAGCTATTAATATTTTTTTTTTTCTAAAAATACATTTGATTAGGTACCCTCCTTTTAGCAGTAAACCTGGGTACTTGTTAAACCTGTCATTTAAATAGATTTAATTGAAATTTGAATCAGGTACTGCAAATGGAAATTCACTTAGTCTGCAGGTTTGCTGCGGTAGGGGTATTATAAAAAGCCACTGTGTGTAGTGGTATTGTTGGTCCCAAAGAAGGAAGAGTGGTTGGTTAAGGCTACAGGTAATGACAGGAGATTTGTATTAATCCAATGTTCAGTTTTCATAAATCAGTAGACATTTTTTATAAGAGGATTGCTAATTTTGTAATGACGTTTATTTTTCTACCTTTTACACAAAATAAAAATTATGATAGACGACAAGTCTTTTTACAAGCTCAAGGTACAGCTGAGTTTAAGTGATGACTTTACAGCTGACTCCCGCTATATCTTAAGTGCTGCTTGTATACAATATTGTACAAGTAATTAATAAATTGGTCGACTATTTTATAGAACAATTGATATCAGAAGAGGGCAATGGTGAGAACTCAGATGATGATGAAGTCTTCAACATAGATGCTAAGATAAAAAGTGTTAGTCTACATAGTGACAGCATCAATATTCCTTCTTGGGTACAAAATATTGATTGTCCTTTCAAATGGCTACAAGTGCGATTTTCAGATGTTTCTTCAAAAGATGTCATTAACAAAGTGAGGGAAAAAACCGACCTGGAGCCAGGTTCAAACGATACATTCCCATTGGAAAAGTAAGTGTCTTATATTATGAATAACAATAATAATAATGGTTTAGAGAATAACATAATCAACCAGTTATTTTGTTATGAGATAGTATAATCTTACCTTTGATAGCAGCCACTGTTCAGAACGAACCATCCAAACCACTTTATCCGATGATTAAATCTTACATGGTATTCATTCAAGTTTTAAGACCATATTGTAGTAGAGAAGTGTTCATAAATTTCCAACGGCAAGGGACAGAGGGGTATTGGACAGATTATTGGTGGGGAAAAATACTACCTACTACCAAAAACCAATGTTCAAATGTAGGTAGCGGTAACAGCACTTTGGTACCAAAAGGAAAGCTTTTTCAATTAATGATGAGCCCAAACCAAAACAACTAACAACCCTTGAAAAGCTATTGCAATAACATGTGTATTGGAAACAGTTATAAACACTGCTACAATATAATTTTTTTCTACACTACTATGAAATCACCAGTTTCCGTTACATATTTTCCACCTGCAAATTCATCATTACATTGTTTATTACGGAAAAATAATGTTTACTATGTGTAAGTAATGTTATCTTTTTTTTATTTATCAGATTTATACAAAGACTTGTTAATGTTTTATCAACTGTTACAATTTTCAACAACCAAAACTGTACAACCAATGTAAATATTAACTTTAAATTGAAAGCACTACCTAAAAAATGCTATGAGTTTAATAATGTTTCTAATTGTAATAAAGAAATATACTTTTCAGATTTATTATTCTTTGACAAAGCTGTTGCATTATAGGGCACTGCCGGCGCGCCCCCGCAAGTTCGTTCACGCGGGCCCCCCTCTCCCAATTCAATTGTGAATTGAAAACATCTTCACAGGTATTTCCACCTAAGCTTGCACTTAAGCTCAACACGGCATCTCCCGAAGCACCGAGGCGTCATCATCATCTTCAATGATTGTGGCAAAGGCAAATCCTTAATATCTTCATAGGTCACAGAAATATTATCATCGTCCTCCGTACCGTGAAATCTGGTGAATACTCCCCAAAGTCAAGGAAACATTATCATCGTCTACTGTGATTACAACTAAGACAACAACATCATCTCCCGCGATCCCGGCTAAATCCCGTATACCTCGGGTGTCAGAAACATATTAATCTTTTTCCGCAATCGCGGCAAAATCCAATATATCTCCAACAGAAAAAAAAACTTCATCGTGTTAAATATCTTGCACGGCTACGGAATCATTAATCTTTTTCCACTATCACAGCAAAATCCTGAACGTTTCCCGCGGTCGTGTGGACATCATTAACGTCCTCCGCAATTGCGGCAAAATATTTAACATCTCCCAGAGCCATGGAGACATCGTAATTGTCACACGATGAAAAATGTTCTTGTCGACAACAGCATGATGAACCTTTCAATCGTGTGGGCGTGATCCTCGCAGACACGTTCTGCGGTCGTGATGTTATCGTAGTCGTCGTAAAAGCACGGCTCAAGCTTGATTTTCTGACTTTGTGCAAGATCTCTCAAGCTTGTTCAAGGCTCGACTCCAACCTTGAAAATTTATATTCTCTATTACAAATTGTCAAATCAACACTTTCCAAAAGAAATTGTTTTTGAACACACCTGATTTTGGCCTGGACCCGAAGGTGACATTTTTACCTGACTTTCGGTAAACAAAAATCTGGTCCGCTGAAAGAATGAAATCATTTATTAGCTAGTGTCCTAGCCTCCTAAGTTTATTTGCCGATTTAATCGTAAAAAAATTGTCGTGTTCATTCAGTTGAGTCAGCATTGAGGGTCCTTTCTGGTGTGACCACAGGGGGCCCTATTGATTCTAAGTACGGCCCTATTACCTTCACGCAGGCAACAAGGACAGTTGATGCAACCCACATGAATGCAGACAAAATTTCTCGACTTAGGTTCGTAAGAATTTCTTATCAATCGGTATAGTGTCAGTTAAGCTGTTGTAAACTACGTCCTAGCGTTTTTACTGGTTTTACCAAATTGTCGTCATAAAAACTTATGGTAATACTCACATAAATCTTGTTATGATAGGAGGGACCCGTGTGACAGGGCTGTCGCTAGTCCGGTCAGTAGAAAAGACGGTGCAACGCCTTAAATGAAATTATCAAAGTGTTTTTTTTTTTCAAAATAAGGGTGATTTACCCATGAGTAAGTGTTCTTAAATCAATAACTATAGGCCTACTTGATAATGTCTTGGACTATAGCCACATGAGTTAAGTCCAAACAAACAAAAACCAATCACTTTTTTCTACTGTAGTAATAATGAATGTACATGTACTCTAAATGTACCATAACAAAAATTAAACGGTAGGTAAGTTAGTGTTTTTTAAAACTATATTTAATAAATAGGTTATTAAATAAAATGTAATGAAAAGTTAAAAGTAGAAGTTACACATTATTAACAGTACTGCACCGGTGGGGCACACGGGAGGGACTAAGGCTAACATATCTTGTAGTGTCAGCGTTCGCCGCTAGGACTGCTAAGTTGAAAAAATTTAAATTAATTTTTAATTTTTTGTTATAAAATTAACTTTTTAATTATAAAATATTGTTTTAAAATTATAAAATAAATTTTTTATTTTTTAAATTAAACTGTCATAACATAACCTAACCAACCAGACTTGCTGATAATATAAAAACTATATAAGATAAAAATCTAATTAATTATTACTTATAATTTTTAATTAATTATAAAATTAATTTTAAAATTTAGTATTATAAAATTAAACTGTCATAACCTAACCTAACCAACCAAACTTGCTGATATGAAAAATTTGTTGACAAAAAGTCAGTGATGCCAGCGGGTTTCGAACCCCGGACCTCCTGAACTCCAATCCGAAACGCTACCAACTATGCCACGAACGCCGCTGAAATCATATCGTTTCGTTACGGTAATCGTGTCGCCTCAAGAGAAGACATTACCCACTAGAGATATGACGTCACTACACCTTTAGCCTTAGTCCCTTCCGTGTGCCCATTCCGTACTGCACTACCTATATACATTATAATTTGGAAAAATGTGTTTGCATATGTTCTGAAATGCATTCATTATAAAGATACTCGGTGCTTTTATTAACCTTGATGACACAACTACTAGCCGAAATGAACTTGACAACGTGACCCTCAACAAGAAAAGCACCTCAAAAACAAGACGGGGTAGCGGATTTCTACCCCCGGATATTTACCCCATGAAAAAACGCCTACGTCATTTTGACGTCACGAGGGGCGGGGCTTATACACGTTCGAGAAACAGCCCGCGACTGGAAATCTACCCCCGGACATCTACCCCCGGACATCTACCCCCAGACATCTACCCCCGGACATCTACCCCCGGAAATCTACCCCCATTGGTCAGCTCTGCCGCGTATCGGCCAATATTCATTGTGTTGTATAATTGATTTTATAAATTGCTTTACCTTCTTATATCCAGTAGTAAACATACGATATGTCGATGTCTGTTTTAACATTATCCATATTTATAATTCAATAAGTTGTAACAGTCCTTTTCAACCCGACCTACTTCACTGATTTTTACGATTGAGGTGTCTTTTAAAAGCTTAAGATCTAGCGCAGCACAAAATGGTAATTAAAAGGATATTTCGATTATGGCTTCAAAATGTTGACCCCTAAGCCTTTGATTTATTCCTAGAAGGTGCTTCCAATGGTTGACCAACTTTTACACTATACAGTAACAGTTTAAAAGTGAAATGTGAGGAGTACTCATCAGATCAATTTTTAAGTCAGGTTGTGAAAACATGAATGATCGTCTGCAACTGTAAACAGGAGATGAAAAAGTTATGAAAATAATATAATATTGCGCACTTTTCACATGGTCAAGTGTTACATCGTACTGAACCATTGTTTTTACACACATTTCTTAAAGGATAAAGTGAATAAACTGTGGTGACCTGAACCATTGTTTTTACACACATTTCTTAAAGGATAAAGTGAATAAACTGTGGTGAACTTCCGGTTTATTCAATGTAGGCCTAGTAGGAATAATTGTTTAGTAAAACAAAACTCAGTTGTAAACTGTTAAATTGAGAAAGAGGATCAATAAAAGTCAGGTGTATAATGGTAAATTTTTCATATCATCTAGTAAAAAAAATAGTTTCTAAGATTTAAATGCGTACTAAGAAAGGATTTAAAGTATTTTCTCTTAAATACCTAAAATAAGACAATTCAGTTGTAAACTGTTAAATTGAGAAAGAGGATCAATAAAAAGTCAGGTGTATAATGGTAAATTTTTCATATCACCTAGTAGTAAAAAATTTTATATATATACGCCTAAATACCCCCATTGCAGCACATTCGCATATTCAGAGCATGTATAAAGTCTTATTGGAAAATCCTGCCTTAAAACAAAACTTGTCAACTTATGTCCATAAATAAGTGTTCAAAAGATTCATTCATAAGAATACCAAATAGGAAGTGAATAAGCAGGTTTCCTGAAAATGTTAAAATGAGGCATTTTAAGGTAGTATACAGAACAGAATTAGGTTAAACCCGTCGACACTGACGGTTACTTTCAAGGCTTATGCTAATTCATTTTATAACTGCGATAAATAGATTGAAGTAATACAAATTTTGAGCATTTATCTCTTTTGATGAGTAATAAGTGTAAAAGCAATAATGACTATTGCGTTAGTTACAAAATATGGTTGATCATTCAATGAATAAAATATTTCCCATACCGTACGTCATAACAGTTATTATTACAATGTTAACCGGTTTCTCTTCTTTTGGAAGAACCTTTAAATAGTTTTAAAATCGTATTGGTCAATCTTTTGTGATAAACACTTCCGATCCGCGCTCATGCATGCGCTGTTAGCTGTTACTGTATGTGAAAGTTTGTCAACCATTTAAATCACTGTCTGGAAATGAATCAAATGCTTAACTTTTGAAGCCCTTTATCAACATATGGTTTTAAATACCATTTTGCGTTGAGCTGAATCTTAAGATTTAAAATTAGACCTCAATCATAAATATCAGT